ATTTACTACTATTGTATATTTTCGGAAAATATTTCAGCCGCTCCAAATCTCATTCCTATTCTTCCTTCTTCCTTTATTCTTTCACAATTTGCGATTATTCATACTTCTTATTCATAACTTTATACACGACACACATAGTCACTAGGTTTAGGCATAGGCCAGGCCTCGGCTATGCCTAATACTATATTATTTAAATATACAATTTTAATAAATAAGATTAATTTAAATGGACATAGTAATTCATACTTATTACTTATTCCAGGGGTAATAATGTAAACGCATAGAGGTCCCTACAATATGCGTTATGTAAGTCGACAATTATTATTATTATTATTATACTTAAACAATACATTAAATTGGAGTATAAATAATATATAATAATAACGTTAACGAATAAATAACAATAATTAAAACGTGGACGTGAGCCGCGGCTCCCCCTTCCCCCTACAAATTCTTTCCTGGGATCAATCAAAATGAATACTTCTAAAATATGTAAATATACATCAGCACACGTTATACATATGCCTAATAGGCCTACAATAATAACACATAAATAATATAACCTACAAAAAGGTATTATTGTTGGTGATGCTGAAAAGTCCGATGGATGTAGTGCTGATAGTCACACTCTTCCTAAAGCGAATCCAAAAAGCACAAGACAAATTGTAAACACATCTGAAGCTGATGAAAACAGACCTGACCAGCTATCCCGCCAAACGACCTCCGGAGAAAAGTTTATCCAGGATATGTGGAAAAGAATTGTTAACACAGAAATTCAAGATACTAGAAATTCAGACAGCAAAGCCGACATGAATGACAAAGAGTACCTCATAGAAAGTGGAGAAGAAAATGAAACGGTTGAGGACGCTGTCACGTCTGGCGTCAGTGCTTCTAAAAAGGACAATATCGAATGGAAAATCACATCGTTCATTTCTTCACAAGCTCCCATACAATCTGTTGCATCCCAAGGCAATGGTAAAGAAAATGAACTTGAAAAGAAAAAAAATAGCTGAAGAAAAGTCAATTCCAAAAAAGTCGCCTAGTCCGGGGAAAAAAACCTAACAAGAAAAGAAGGCGAATGAGATGCAAGACGGCATGAAGGTGTAGTCCTTAAATTGATAGAATAATCTTAACATCCGCTAGATTTAAATTTGAATTGCATTTAGGTTGTCTTTCAGTTATATTTTATTATTTCTACATATGGATAAAGTAAATTTACACTGTTTGTCCTTGAATGTCAGAGGGCTTCTTGTAAAGCAAAAACAAAGGGAAATTTTTAAATGGGTAAAAGATAACAAGGTGGATATTTTCTTTGCCCAGGAATCCCATCTTACAGAAAACCTTGCTAATAGTTTTGACTTCCTCTGGAAGGGAGACATCTACCATAGCTTTGGAACGTCTTTCAGCAAAGGTGTGTCAATACTGTTTAGACAAGGCCTAGATTGTAAATATATGAAGGAACACAAAGATAAAGATGGTAGATATATCTTGTTACATATTGATGTTGGGGGCACTCAATTTCTACTTATTAATGTTTACGCACCGAATGACAGCAAACTCCGAAGTACATTTTTTAGGAGCCTACAAAAGCATATCAATAATTTTTGTGATAATCAGTTAGAAATTTACACTCTTACGATTGACGATATGAATTGCATACAAGATAAAAATTTTGACCAAAAAGGTAGCAAAATGAAAAATGATAATTCAGTTTTTACTGTTAAAAGTTTTATAATAGTTCTAACTAAATTGATTGTTGGAGAACTATTAACAAATACAAAATGCAATTCACCTGGCGTCGAAAATCAGCCAATCTCTTTAAAAGGCTTGATTACTGGTTTATTTCAAAATATTTACATAGGGCGGGGGATATTGTTTCCTGTGATATCAGACCAGCAATATTTACCGACCATCAAGGGGTTTCAATCGTTGTTAGATTATTAGACGAAAAACGCGGCCCAGGATTATAGAAATTTAATTCCAGTTATCTTCATAATGCAGATTTTACCAATAACGTTATTGAGATAATTGATGACTGCGAAAAGAAAATGAAATTTCTTAGCCCAAGTGATAAATGCGAAATTATCAAAATTAAGATCAAAGTGTATGCAATACTTTTTGATAAGTTGATAAGATAGGATAAAGATCCAAAATATTTTTGTAATAGTAACAAGTTGGATGAATAGTAGCTCTCCAAGAATCTCCAGAGCTCGACGATGGAGACTTTTCTGTTTACTCTAGAGTTTCACACATGCGTTAACCCAATCAGTGTCGGGTAAATTATAATCACCCCATAAGACAATGCTTTTATGTTTTTTGTTTGATGTTGTAGTTGTGGACAAGACTTTATTGACACTATCCTGTAACTTTTCCAGAGGTTCAGTCCCAGCACTTGGTGGACGGTAGTAACTGCCAAGTTGTAATTTACCTGCTCCAGCTACTTTCAAAGTTCAAAGTTCAATTTATTTTCCATATAACATAAACAAAATTGATACATATAACTGTACTACTTCGATAGTAGACCATGTTATTTCGCAATCAGAGTCATATTTAGGATCATTAATGCTGATTAAAATTTTCTTTAGTAGCTATAAATACAAATTGTCGAAGCTTTGAATAGTCAATTTACATCCGTTTTTACCAAGGAGAATACGAGCTGCATGCCAACAAAATGAAAATCCTCTTTTCCTGACATCCAGGATCTAAGTATTGATCTCAATTGTGTGGTTAAACAGCTCCAGGAACTGAAATGTAACTAGGCAAGCGGGCCAGATAACATCTCCTCTAAATTTCTCCATGACTATGCAAGTGACCTTGGCGGGGGCCTGAATTTTGTGTAGGTGAATAAGTTGTTTGGAAGCGAAGTATGGCGGTTTGAAAGTTGGTGAATTTATATACGTTTCTTGTAGAATGGCCCTCAAAAAAGTACTAATTTTTAGGGTTTAGAGTTGAAATATTGAACCTAAACTAGAAAAATAGTAAGATTAAAGGTAATACTTTATATTTATGACATAATTACATTTTACTCAAATTACATTTAAATGTTAAGAGTTAAATTGTCTATTTGGCCCTTTTTCTCGAAACCTGGTGATGCGAGTTTACAGCCCTTTTGTGGTCTTGGATCACATTTATGATGTGTCTATCGCATTTTTTCACTTTCTCCTCTTAAATCGTCCTAACAACGTTCAGAGTGCGATTCCCCCCTTGACCTCAGCCGTAGAGAGGGGGATACCCCACACTCGCTCGGTACTATGTACCTTGCATAACGGCTCCCACCCTTTCATAATCCTGGCTACGTCCCTGCGTAGTGTCACTACTACAATATTAAGATTAATATTTTTCAATCTTATAATCAATTTTATATAGCCGGAGTTAGTATTGACCTAGGCTAACTATGGCTAACAACATGTGCGCTTTCTCCAATAAAGTCATACAATTTGTAATTAAACATCAAGCAAAAAACGTACTGTATATTTAATTTAATATGGCAAATATTTTTTAACGGATCTAGGCCTAATCTGGGGCTTTTATCTGCGAAAAATTTATAATTGTTGATTTATAATGAGTAGGGCCTATTTTTTCTTCAGGGTAGGCCTATTATTACAGTTAGCTAAAAAGCAAAAATCGATTACCTTAAAGCATTAACTAGCCTAACTCGACCAGGCCCGCGATAAGTAATATTCAGAACACAACCCAGTCCCAACCTACAATACATTGGTAGCCCTACAATGAATAATATTTTCATTAAAAAATTTTTTTTTTTAACTTAGAAAATGACATTTATTCAGAAAAATTCCACAACAAATTACATATTACGAATTGTTTACATATTCATGAAAAGAAGCGGTGGCTTGTCAGTTTGAATACCAATCATACAAAACATACACACACAGAATACATGGAAACTCAGAGTCAACATTTAAATTTTTAAATTTGGGATCCCCCACAATCGCCGGCACCTCCCGGAAGGGGAAATGCCTCAGTGATCATCACACCACAGTAATAATACCGTGCGCCCTCAGACATCTCCAACAGTGTACCGCCCGAAAGGTGCCAGCGATCATGGACGGCTCCCAAGAAATTAAAAAAAGATAAATAAAAAAAAATTTAAAAAAAAAAGAGTTAAAGAAAAGAAAAAGAAAAGTTTTCCTTAATAAGTTTCTAATATTATCTCTTTCAATTTATTTTTGACCGAATTTAGCGAATTAATTTTTAAAAGGCTATTATATAGCTCATTCCAGATATTTGGTTCGTGAATAAAAATAGATCTGTAACAGGATGTCAGTCTTGAAAAAGGTACATACATTTTGTTTGAATTTCTTAGGGGATTTTATTTTTTTTATTTTTTTTTATTTTTTTATTTATTTTTTTTTTATTTTAATTCACATTCGACAGCGGGGAGCCCGCCACTTACAGAATGGAATACATAAAACACAATAAACACCGTACGGAAAACATCAAGAACACTTATACAAGACATTTCTTAATTTTATACTTTAAAATATTCAAACTATTAAAAAACATATCAATTGTCGGATCTAACAGAATAAGTGAGTTAAAAATTCTAGATAATCTACAAATAAATCCGTTTTTAAAAATATTGGTTCGGGAAAATGGAATATGGAATAAGTTGACCGAGGCTTGACGAGAACGTTTACTTTTAACAGAAAAACCAAATAAAGAAAGAAGATGAGGACCAAATAATCCCTTCAAGCATTTAAAAAGAAATATACAGTCCAAGTAACTCCTACGTTGACATAAGCTGGGTAAGTTAATAGTATTACGATTGACATTACACGATTTACAAACAAATTTCAAAAATCTATGTTGCACAATTTCTAATTTTTGAGCTTGACTTTTACATAATCCATTTGCACATTCATAACGAATCTTGAACGCTTCCCGTGAAAATCATTGCGTTTACGCGGCGGCAAGTGGGAACCGTATCCATTTTGTTACGTTTCGTCACGTAAGAAGTGCAAATTCAATTTTCTGTAAGGAGGGGGGGATACAACATTGCCGGAAGAGCATTTCATTACGTTGCGTTGCGTACGTTGCGTAAGTGGGAACCAAGCTTAAGTCTGGAACCGGCAAAAATATCGTATCGACTCTTTTAGGCCTCGAAACAGTTTGAACTACAGCCAGTAATCTAGAATTAATGTAATTATATCGGAAGAAGGGATAAGATGTACTGACCTGAACTTCCGATATTACAAGAATTTATATTAATAGAATCATAGTTCTTTTAAAATATTACCCGGACACCATCGTGTTTTACACTGCGACACGGCATATAACAGTCCGGACAACTTGTAATTTCTATGGTGCTTGTAGGATTTGCCTAACTTCCATAATAGTGACGCAATATGCTGCATTGGGCGAAATGTATATTGCTTCTTGTTTGGAAAATATCGATGGTTGGTGCACAATGTCCTCCGTAAGTAATGCTTATCAATGTGTGTTATAGGCATGGTAGGCAACGCACTCCCGGGGTGTTCACCTTTAAATATTTCTGTACGTGTAGGTGCCGCATTTGCGGGGGTATTTTTGAGGACTAAGTTGGTAGCCAAGTGTGGGAATATATGGAAGAGTTTGAGCATGTACGGTATAGTATGGGTATAGGGCTGTTGCCTCTTTTATTGTTAATATGTTAATTGCTATTAGTTATACAGTTATTCTAATATTATTATTATTATTACTCAATTTAATTATTTTCTACTGTATATCAAAGAAAGATGAAAGAAATAAATGTTGCTGAAATAAAAATTTGCGAGAACTTGGTAGCACAAGTGTGGGAAATACCTAGTAAAATTGGTAGTCTCTGCGCCCCGTCCCGTATAAAAGTAGAATAATTCTTTCACGCGATTTAGCGAAGTTTTTTCGCTAAATTCTGTGCCGCCAAACCTACCGTTGATGCATAGCCACGAACAGCAGAGATCGCGAACGGGACGGAACCGCGGCCTTATTTGTCATCGGGAACAAGTACGGTACAAGTTTAATTTTATAGGTTACATGGCCGTAAAATAGTTCAACCGACACCGGATTTTGGTAAATGGTAGTTCAAGTCCCTAATAATTTCAGTAAAATAGGTAGCGCACGTGTCTCATGTCTTGAAGTAGGCCTAACTGTTGCACCCCAACCCCTCTTAAGGTTGGCACAAGTGAGCTCCCCGTGATAACACAAATTCGTTTAAAACTGATCTGAACATTGTAATGTTGCCGCTTCTCTTTGATATTTGAAAAAGGGCAAATCTGGTGTCTAACTATATGTTATTGGGGTCACTGAATCCAGTAAGACAGGATTCGAAAACCTAAAATGGGAGCCATGTTAAAAGTGGTAAAAAACCAAATATTTCAGTATAATTCCACATCTCCTCTACGGAAAATATTAAATTTGGATCTAATCATATTTTTTGGGGTTCTCTGAGTCCAATAAACATAGTTTAAAAAGCTAGAATGGCAGCCATTTTGAAATTCAAGATGGCCTCCACAAAAATCCTCAAACAATTGAATATTTTGGTAACCGTGCTTTTGGAAACAGTGTTTATAGAACTCAGATGACACAATGATATATGATTAGACAACAATTTAAGTGGAATTTTTTAAAAAAAGGCCAATACAGTGTGTGCATTCAAATTTATCTCGTTTTTACTCGAATAATATCCTGGATTCTATAGCTGCGTTAACAAGCATCATGATTCCCCCTCCTCTTCTTCTGTCGTCCCGGTCACGTCTATAAAATGTGAACCCAGGTTGAGTAACTTCCGAATCTAAGATGGTTGTTAGGCTCCGTTCCGCAACCTTTTTAGTCCACAGCCCAAATTAAATGGCAAGCACTCAAACGCGACCCATCGGACATGAAAACCTAATCTATCACTTGAATTTCAAGGTAAAATGATTGAACATTGTATTATTTTTTTTATTAAGTCAATAAATCACGAAGAATAGCGAAGATCAGAACCATACGAGATACGAGATACGATACGAGAAGCTTTATTGCAATTTTTTATCATATAAAATTGAAGTTGAACAATAGACCAAGAAAACACAGTACAATAAAATCACAAAAAAGGACACGAAACGCTATATCAATAAAAACCCTCAATGAAATAAAACAAGGTAAAAAAATTACGAAAAGCTCAAAAATAAAGCAAAAAAGGGATTAGGCCTAAGAGAGAATAGAATTGGATATATTTAAATATGAACATATCAGCGATTCTGAGTAAAAAATTTTAAAAGGTATAAAAAAGTTATATTTATAAATAGGCGATAATTAAATTAGTTTATATTTACAAAACGAATAAAATAAATTCATATAGGGTGTCTATAAATCGAAGACCCTTGAAAATTTCACAAACAGACGCCCAAAAAAATGTCGTAATTTGTGAGAGCCTGTTGTATTACCATCAAAATGAAAGAGAAAAAATAGGGGTCTTCGTTTTTGGGTATTCGGTCTTCGTTTTATAGACACCCAACAAAAAGTTAAGAATTTGGAAAATTTTGCCATTCTTGTGGTGAATCTTTAATGGAGGACTCAACTTCTAATATTAATACACGAAAACGGCCCAAGTCCAAATGAAAGTCCATCATCAAGTAGGCCTAAGCTTGCTCGTCTCTCATTTGAGGCTTTCAGAGATAGGAAAGAAAAGGAAAGAAGTACTAGATTCACCAAGAAAGACGTGTCAACGAAAATAGAGAAAAACCCCGAGGTGACCATACAGATCGGTCTTTTAAATCGTGATGGTGTGCTGAAAAGTGTCAGGGGATCATCTCTTCCCTTGAAAGTAAATCCTTCGATAGGAATGGAGGAGCTCTTAAAAAAAGGGGCCGAAAACATGATCAAGTTTAACTTCCCAGAGGCTTTTACTTTATTATACCCTGACAGAAGTGCAGTGCAATTCTTGCCAGGTAGTGAGGAGGTATTTTCCTTACAAAGATACAAGGAAGAGCTAGGAAAACCTTACCAACGGATTACTTTGTATTTATGCCTCAAAATCGATTATAACGAATCAGTTTTACAAGAACTTGCGTTTGACGATGAAAGTGACTTTGAGGGTGATGAAGAGGTAAAACAAAAGTTTTGTGCAATAAACCTTTACAAAATTCACATGACAAGTGATAAAACAAATAGATTCAAGTCAAGACATGGGTGGGTAAAACGTGAGGGCAGACTCATCTATTCCAGCCTTGTCATGAATCAAACGTTTTTTTATTAAGCCATTAATTCAGGAGAGGTCTGTTATTTTTTTCTTGCCAAAGTAAAAATGAGCATATTATATTTTAAATTCCTGATTCACTATGTCTTTCAGCTGAATTTGAGTCTTCTTTTTAGCATCTCCCATCTGACCTGACCTCAATTTGTTGTCAACTAATATGAATTGCGCGCGCAAAGGCTTTTCCATTTTGTTTGCAGGGTTTCCTTTTTTTGTTTGCAGCGTTTCTTTATTTGTTTGCTAGTGTTTTTATTATGTTTGCAGCGTTGCTTTATTTGATAATGTTTTTATTTTTTGTTTGCAGCGTTTCTTTTTTGTTTGCAGCATTTCTTTTTTGTTTGCAGCGTTTCATTTTTTGTTTGCTGGTGTTTTCATATTTTTGTTTGCATCGTTTCTATTTGTTTGCAGCGTTTCTTTTCTGTCTCCATGATTTCTTTTTTGTTTGCAGCGTTTCTACTTTGTTTGCAGCATTTCTTTTTTCTTTACAGTATGTCCCTTGTGGGCCATCGTAACTTTATTCCTTCTTCGCGAGTTTATTTTCTAGTAAATTAATTATTAATAATCGTCATCTTTATCTTTTAACATTTTAGTAAATTAATTATTAATAATCGTCATCTTTATCTTTTAACATTTAAATATTTAAAATCTAAAACTGACTATTCTAAATATTCAATTCCAATTCTAGATTTGTGAGATTGTGGAATAACCTCCATCCAGATATCCGAAATTATTTTATTATATCTTTTAATTTTGATTTGTTCAAATGCAAGTTAAAAAAATATGTTAATGACTTTTAATTGTTTTTTATTGTTTTTCATTATTATTATTCCATTATTATTATTATTTATTTTATTTATTTATTTTATTATTATTATTATTATTATTATTATTATTATTATTATATTAATATTAATAAAATAAAATATAATTTGTTTTCTCTGCAACAATTATATATAAATAATTGGTGGAACGATTTTCATTATTTATAAATAACTTAAAGTAGCAAAACATTATTAATAAATAATTGAATTGCCGAAAGTCATTATATATAAATAATAATTTTACTCATAGTCATTATTTATAAATAATTGTTTTAACATTTTATTATCTATAAATATCTGCAAATGCATATTTTTCATTTAAAAAATAAAGAAAATCACTCCACCATTATTTACATATAATTGTTCGAAGAAAACTAATTATCTATGTATATAATGCATGTACATCCATTATATATAAGTAATAAGTTCACATACAATTATTTAACGCAAAAATCATTATATAATGATTGGTTTTTTAACGCCGAAATTATTATATATAGGGTGGTGGTGGTGGTGGTGGTGGTGGTGGTTGATATCATTATACTATCATGAATTGCCTATTCATTGTATTCACTAGGCTACATTACACCATGGTATTCCTGTCACCCTGAGGGGCAATAAACACAAACACGACGGACGTGATATCTGATCACTTAATCACTCAAAATAAATAATACAATATTAAATGATTAATTTTACTATGAAATTCAGGTGATATATTTGGCCTTCTGGTCCGATGGTGGGCTAAACAGGTTGCGGAACGGGGTCTAGAACACTGTGCCATACACATGACATGGACATTTTGTACTGAATTGCGCCATCAACCGTGATTGCCAAGTTCTTCAGGAGTTCAAATTTTGTGGCGAATTATTTTATCTATAATCTTATTAGTGAATTATCAACCATGTGCCGGATTAAATTTTTACAAAATTAAAAATAAATGGGGATAGCAGAAAAATTACTTTAAAAGTCAGTCCTATTTCCGGGCATCTAGAAGTGTCATACATAAAAAAAAATGTCGTACCTCAGCCCCAACAATGGTGGTGGGGTTAAGGTGGTTCTTACAGTAGGCTACTTTCAGTATCCGCCTCTGTTAATGTATCTCTGTGGCGAATCATATTTTATCTAATCTTTGAAAAAGCGACAAAGACTAACTTAGACATAGGGGTTTGTGAAGACATAATCCATTTCCCGGGGGTTCCCTGTAAAAGTGGGAAACATATGCTCTAGTACAAATTTAGAATAGAATTTGAAATTGCCAAAAGCCTTCAAAGGTTTTAGACAACGCAAGAAAAAATTACATAGGCCTTTATTTTATTGAGATTTTTGTCTCTGGTTGAGGCAAGTGGCATTTCTGATAAAGAGTTATAATTCACCAGATCAACAGACGCTGCAATCACTGTATTTTAAAGAATATTTTATCTTTCACCATCTTTGATCCTCGCTGTCGTTAGACAACGCAAGAAAAAATTACATAGGCCTTTATTTTATTGAGATTTTTGTCTCTGGTTGAGGCAAGTGGCATTTCTGATAAAGAGTTATAATTCACCAGATCAACAGACGCTGCAATCACTGTATTTTAAAGAATATTTTATCTTTCACCATCTTTGATCCTCGCCATGGCGAACGGTGCCAAGGTGTTGATCCACGCATGTGGTGCGTGAGAAAACGTTTTGAGAATAATGTACCTCTAGGTGCCTGGAAATTGCACCCTCATACCTTAAAAATCTTACCGGTAAGTCATAAACAAGTATTTTTATTATTACATTTTATGGGGTAGCGATCACACCGTCTGCACCACCACTTCCAGCATCCGACCCTGAGCCTCGTTATGATGCTTATATTTCTTTATATACAGTAGTTTCATATTATTTCCTATTACAGCGGATTTAATTGTTCAGGTATGACGTCATGTTACCTTATTTACCCAGGAAGCAATGGTTTGGAATATAAAGATCCAAGCGGACGCATTTGGGCCTTTGGTATGTATAAATTACAGATTATCTCAATATTGTGAATAATACAATTTACATTTAGGCCTACCTCTATTTTATTTTCAATGTAAATTACAGAAATAAAACGAAAGCTCGAGGAAATATATAATAATGATTCCTATTTTCATCTTATTGTTTATAGACGATGCACGTTTGGTATATCCATCTCCAAACTGCTTCAAATATATACCAATGAACGGAGCAAAGCAGTCATGCACTGATACTCAGCGTGAATGCGAAAAACTAGGCGGAAGCATCACCGTAATAAACAGTTATGAGGAATACCAAGCGTTGACAGGGATCGTGCACGATATTATGTCTCCGGAATTTGATGTAAAATTTAAGGTTTTGAACCAAGCAGTTGGCATAAACATAATTAAGGGATGTGCAACATTTACAATTGATAATTACCTTACAAAACATTATAAAGTCCTCGGGCAGAACACCGATTGCTTTGAAACTTCTCAGATAGACGCTATTATTTGCGAGTCGTCAGGTAGGTTTTGGTCACAATGGGTAGGGCTAAGAGAAATCCTAATTAGGACTATTAGGCCTACTCAATAGCAAAGGGTTTTTTGTTTTCGTTTTAATTGAGTGCTGAAAAATTCTCAACCATGCTAGCTGCTACCTATAGTTTATAACCATTTTCATGGGTGGGGTTGTTGCTGTTTCGATATGTTGTTTGTTGAAGTAAGACAGTATGAATGTGTAGCCACAGCTGCTATAAATCAAGCAAATTAAATTGTTGTTAATATCACACTGGATGCTACCTGACAACAGTAACATTGATTTAATGTAGGCCTACTTTTGCATTCTTGTCAGGTAATTGATACTGTAATCATTAGTGTTTAATTTGCTTGCGTCTGTTGCTCATGTATTTATCACTTTTTTTTTTCTAAATTTTGTTTAAATTTATAACAACAACAAAGAATACAGTACAACAATTTGCTTCGTTGTTCCTTTGTTTCATTAAACTTCCACTGCTTTAATGCAGGCTATAAAGTTATACAAACTGCAAACTACAAACTAAATATCTCTCTGCTTTCACGCAGGCCAGCCCCTCTCCCACGAGGATTTTTTTCAGCATACGAGTTAGAAGAGTGAGAGGTTACTAACTCGGCAAAAACTCGTAGGATGATTCTGGAAGCTCGGGGAGAACTCGTACCTATTCATTAACTCGTAAAGTACTCGGGGTACGTCTACCTAACTCGAACTTAACACTCTCCCACCTAGTTTGGTTTCATCCAAGAGTCGCACAAGTTCTAAGAGTTAAAAACTCGTGATTTAATTCGCTTGGAAAAGGACCTTACGAGCTATCTACGTGTTAGCTACGAGTGAGGTACGACCTTGCGAAGTTGGTTACGAGTTATGTACGAATTATACTGCGTCCTCTTTCGGTTTCTAATCACTAGGCGTTTCCCCACCGCTTGGCCGTATAGCCAGACTTCAAAGCGTAGATCTATAACCTTTCCATTCTGCAACTTTTTCTTCTCTAAACTGCACGGCGGTATCGACAGGTACAAATCAAAATATTGGTTTATTTTGCTTTGCTTTTCGTCAACAGTGAGTAGTTTTTCTTTCGGATTTGTGGTCAGGTACAATTATGTCTACATCTAAAAACGTAGGTTCTGAAAGTGTTCCTGAAGCCTTGGTTTGGGCAAATTTTGGGGCTAATTTGGCTCAGCCTTCTGCCGCGAATTCACGTCTCCCGTTTGTGGGTCGTATGCGGAGAGGGGAGATTCATCGTGCCTCCCATTAGTGGGTCAAGATGCAGTAGGCCTAGATAGTGAGTCAGTCATCAGTTTAAGGCGCTTCGGACGTCTCTATTAGAGGCCTCTGGGCGTAGGTCTCGGTCTCGCTATCGGTCTAGGTCATCTCGGTGCAGAGAGTGTAGGTCTGGGCCAAGTCTATTGAGGTCTAGGTCTTCTGATAGTGAGTTCGTCCAGGGGCGCCGAGCGTCGTTTGAGTCCACACGGGGACGCAGGGACAGGGATGCTCCGTTATGGCGTGTTCAGACGATGAGGAGGTTGTTCCACCTGAAGAGTTAACGCCTTTGGCTCTGACTAATCCTCCTCACAAGGATGAAGGAGTGGCCTATAGCGCTCAGGTACCTAGCTGATGGCAGAAGCAGCGCACCAATATCTTTTCAGAAGACCAGAAAAAATTGTTATTGTCTGGGATGGGCCCTAATTCGGAGACGGAACCTTATTTTAAGGCTCCAGACATGCCGAAACCAATGCGCTCAACCATACAGGAGGCCAACTATGAGTGTTGGAAAAGGGACAATACTCTCTAAAGTATTCAGGAAGATCTGGTGCGAGTGACGCAGCCTCTTCCCAAGGTAGTTGAAGGGTGTAAGGATGAAGGTGTCGCACCTTTTCTGGCGTCTACTGGAAGTCTTCTTGGTTCCTCTTTGCAGCGCCTCTCAGAGTTCAGACAAAGGCAGGCTAGGTTGTTTCTCAAAGCAGGCATTCTGAAGGATGCTCCACCGTCCATAGGGTCCCATTTTGGGGACAAGTGGTCGGAGATTGTGGAAGAGGAAGACAAACTAGCTGTTACTAGCAAGGCAGTTAAGCAGAAACTGAAAACTAAGCCACTGAAGCCCTCTGCAAGTTCTAAATACCCTGCCGACACGAAAGGCATCAAGGAATGGAAGGTTCGATCATACAGTGGACGGAATTCAGAGTGGCGAAGGAAGCCATATACCTACAGTGCCAAAGGCGGGGAGCAGTCGAAGAAGCATTTTCGGCCTCCGCGGTGAGAGGGCAAGGGCTTCTCTTCTTGCCAGTATATCCCGTCCCTTTCCAGGTCACTTATGCAGGAAAGGGCACATAAGGGCCTGGATGAGTTTGTCGTAGGATCCCTGGATCCTGCAACTCGTAAGGGGATCGTGTATCCTTTCACAAGGTCCCCTCGGCAGCTGCGAGTGCCAACGCCCCCTTCCATGTCTGTTGCAATGTCGGAGGCATGCTCCATGTGCACTTTAAAGAACCCAGTACATCCTTCGAGATGAGTAGGGGGTTACCCCGGTGTACTGGTTCACCCGGCCCCTGTCGTAGACTGTTTTATGTGAACTGGGCCCTCTGGGAGAACAGTAATTTGTTACTGAAGAGGAAACACAGTATAAAGAACAAATAAATAAAAATAAACGGCTATGCCCAGTAGAGGGTATGCTTACATACCTGGCAGCTACCAAGCCTCTGAGAGGCCTAGAGACGCAGCTGTTTATTAGTTATTTTAAACCTCATCACAAGGTGGTCACTTCTACTATTAGTAGATGGTTGTGTGTGGCTCTGAAGGTGGCAGGAGTGGATACAGAGTTGTTTAAGGCTCATTCGATAAGAGGAGCGTCTGTCTCAACATCCCACAAGTTAGGGCTCTAAACTAAACAGATTTTGGAGGCCGCTGTATGGTCAACGCAGTCAACATTTAGCAGGTTTTATCACCGATCTACGGCTGCGTCTTCGTTCTCACGTAGCCTTCTGACTTCGGTTTAAGGGTGCGGCGTTAAAGTCGCCTAGTGATTCGAAACCGAAAGAGGACGCAGTATAATTTAAGATTATGCAAGGGTTACTTACCTGCAGTATAATCTAGATTATACAAGTCCTCTGGAGGTGAGAATCACTTCCCGCCCAGTGGATCTGCTTTGTTGTTTTTCACCATGATGATGATGGTGTGTTGTTTTTTTTTTTTAGAATATGGAATATAGTTCGTTTGTTGCTTATGTAATTCGGAAGTACAGGGCAACCCTACAGGAAATAACTTAGGGTGCTGTTTGAGTAACTTATGGTTATTTTGCTTTTTTTTCCGAGGGTTATAAGTTTAATAAAATAATTGTTTATATAAGTCTCTTTGGTCTTGTGTTTGCATGCTGATGTTTGTGGTATAAGTAGAAGGACACAGTAGCCTGTTCTGGTTGAAGAGGCATTTCAGCTTCTATTGTTTAGAGGTGTATTACATGGTTCGGATTTGTATAGGAAGATGAGTTGCCCGACCCAGGAAATCGTTTAGTTCGAAGGTTAAATTGGATTTCCGCCTCCCGAAGATTTGCACTTTGAAAAGAGGAAGTTGCTGGATGGGAAGGTTATGGATTTACGCTTTGAAGACTGGTTATAATGCCAAGCGGCTGGGAAACGCCTAGTGATTCCCACCTCCAAAGGACTGGTATAATCAAGATTATACTGCAGGTAAGTAACACTTGCAAAATCTTAAATTATGCAAAGCGAAGCACCTAGTTTACAACAAGATTTATTACGGGCGTAGCGAGTTTGTGCCGAATTAAATACGAGTTAGGTACGAGCATTCCCCGATCAAATGTTCCAGGTGATCGTAACCAATTCGGTGAGTTCGTACTTAACTCGTACTCATTTCGGGGTGCTCGCATCAAACTAGTGCATTAAGTTCAAATCGCATATAGGATAACAAAAATAATCGCAAAATAAACTTCTTGCTCTCCTTCAGAACAATTAATGACATTTTATTACATTCTAATACTGTAATTAAACTTTGTAATACTGGGTAAATTATATAAAATTTACCGCGCAAGATTTCAACCACTATTCATGCTGACGTCAACAAATGTCGTTAAGACGTCAAGATGGTTCCCGTCAATGGGATTCAACTAGATGAAGTACGTGGCATGATTTTTGTCTACTTTACCATACTTTAGGTTTTACTTAGATTTTACACACTTAAGTTATTGTATATTTATTTTTAACGACCTATTTTTAAGTTACAAAAATATCCAATTAAAAATTACATTATTTGCTTTTTTTTTTAAAGATGTGAATATTGCAAAAATATGTTCGACGAAAAAGCCAAATGAGCAAAACAAGACGAAAGTATCTGTTAAGACGATAGCGATAGCTGTCTCGGTCACTCTGTCGATAATAATAAGTTGCTTGTGGGGTTGTATCCGACAGAATCAGAGAACAACAAATCCTGGGTAAATAATGCTATCACGTTATTATTGTTATTGTTACTATTACTATCACTATTATTATGATTACTATTAATATTATTACTATCACTATTACTATTAATACTATTACTATCACTATTACTATTACTATTACTATTAATACTATTAGTATTCATCATCAGCAGCCCAGTTTCGAAAGACTATGCATCAGACACCCGTGGAGAGGAATACATTTTTAGAATTATATTTTTAAATTGTTTTGTTTATTTGTTATTTATTTATTTATTTAATACATTATTGTTTGCCATTATCTATTTAATAATTTATTTTTTAAAAAGCACAAAATTTCAACAGCAATAACAATACTAACAATACAATAGAAATAACAATAGTAAAACAATGAAGAGCAAAAAAGATATAGATTGAGAATGATTTAATAGACTAAGGTCTTTGTCATCGTTTGGTGTGGCTGTAAAATCCAATGCGCGAGTGACAGTCTCTATTACATTTTGTGCAGATGTAAGAAGAATGTTGTGTGGAGAGATTAGTACCTGCAGCGTGCTTTCTTCGAAACCTCAGCCGATCTCTGTTAACATCTGCATCTGTATCTACATACTACTACAACTCTATTACTATTACTATCATTATCATTATCGTTATTGTTATCGTTGTCGTAGTTGTTGCTTTTATTATTATTATTATTATTATTATTATTATTATTATTAACCTTCAAAATTATTGATGACTTATAGTAAGTTTTATAAAGTACACCATTATTTAAAGCTAAAAATAATACTATGGTAACGATATAAATCTTTAAATACAATAAACATAACTATCTACATTGGCCTATTCCATGTACAGTACAACAAATATTTAAATACATTTACAATGAACAATAACCAGTCATTAAGTGGACAACACTCTGAAAACAAACAAACCTAGGCAGAGATGGCGCCAGGATTGCCCGACAGGGGTTCAAAGGTCCCAAAAAGGGGGAAATGTCCCCGACGAGAGCAAAGTGGGCGTGGTCAGGTGTCGCTCAAAAATGTTTGAAAAAGATTCTGGGGAGGGGGAATAGGCCACGAAAAAAATGAAAATTTAGGGGTTTCAAAGGCTTTTTTAATGGATTATAGTGTCTACTAATGAGTATAAAATATATTTTTAAAAATGTTTCTCCCCGGCGAATTGTGGTTTTTCTACCCGGCAAGGAGGGGTGGGGGTAGGGGTGATATCTTCTCCACGCTGGCCCCATACCTAAACCTTGGCTTAAAAAACTATCATAACAAGTGTTGTAGACGCTTAAATAGACAGAGTATTTAATGATGACGTTTATCAATATTGTTATTTTTCAGACGCCAAACGTACTTTCATTATTTAACAAAAATAATTTTATACATATTCATTATTAGTTTTGTCCCTAACAATTATATATAAATAATTGATGGGGCGATTTTCATTATTTATAAATAATAACAACTAGCAAAACATTAATTATAAATAAATAAGTGCCGAACGTCATTATATATAAATAATGATTTTACTATGGTCATTATTTATAAATAATTATTTTAACATCGTATTATTTATATGTATATAATGCAAATTATATGTATATAATGAAAAAATGTTGAATTATATATTAAATAATGAATTATATATTAAATAATGAATTATATGTATATGTTACATAATGAAAGTACTTGGCGCCTCATAGTTATTGGAAAACTGTTGGGCGTTGAACTAAACGCATTAATTGGTATTTCATATATATTCAGAAATGGCACTCATGTAGTTCAATATCAAGTATCTGCTGAAGGTGTTCAGGGGACTGCGTTAAATACCACTACTGCTGTTACCCAAAATCACGACCCAATATCAGCCAACGAAGGTGTGTCCCATGATGTAACAGATAATATTGGATACCATGATTCCGCAGTTAAAGTCGCCTACGAAGACCCTGCAGCAGCTAAAGCAAGAAGTGGTATGCCGTGATACATCAGCTTGAAGTAGTACCGGTATACCAGGATTCAGGTAGAGTCTACACTATATTTTATAAATGCAGAATACGAGATGAAGATTATGATATGAGGAAAAGAAATTGATAAGAGAACATTGTAAATGCTTTCCTGCAGCCGATCATTTTAACCTGCCTGATCAATCCATACAAGACCTTCATAAATGCGATCTCATTGGTACTAATTTTAAACCACATGCTCATTGCCTCTGTTCTGAACATAACTGGATAATCAAACTCAAAACTTATTCCCATGGCTTGAACGAAGACCTCCGCTTTCTTGCGGCTACACATTTTTTTTAATTCTTAACTCACTTAGCTTATCTACACTTTGTTTCATACCGCCACTCAAATTGTATTCCTATCAGCTCTGACGTTCTGTATGCATTGTTTTAGTAGTTCATTTGTGGATATGCGATTTTGTACAGATATTCGTCAAACACTGAAAAAAAAAACACAGGCGTGTTTTAATAATGAATAAAAACAATAATAACAATTATATTCACAGTTTATCTTCTATTTCAATTACGTAGTAGTTCCATGTATGTAGTTACTCCATTTTTTTAGTGTCTGCGTCCGCCGCCAAAACTTCAATTTTGGAAGATTGCGTACTATATAGGCCTATGCGAAAATTCAAAATTCGGAATTTTAAAACTATTAATTAAACAAGCTCTCTCTCTCTATACATAAAGAGAGTAAAACTGTTAATCAACCTCCGATTTCGGAAATCAGAGGTTTGATTGAAAGTTTGAAAACTACGATTTTTAAGTTTTCGCGTATAATACGCAACCTTCAAAAACGGAGTTTTGGCGGCGGGCGCAGACACTTCGATTTCAAATAAACTACATACCTAGTAATTTATTAAAAGTCATTATATTGACAGCCTATCTTCTATTTTAATTTCTTATTATTTTAGGCGTTGACAGAATGAAACAAATTACACAGAGTGATCAGAATTTTTCAGCAGGCAGTTCTTAACCATTATGTCATTAACATGCAGACCGCCATCTGAATGTTAAAAATTAACAGGACGTTGGCATCGATATACCTAATAAAAAATGTCTATGCATGCTGCTGAAAGTCCAACAAAGAGGAAGAAACTATTACTGCACCCTAACCTATGTTGAATTCTGCTCCATGGTTGAATGAAAAGCCACACGCAACGGATCGTTTTTAAGCATGATCTGTTCAGACTGAGTTCTTATACGGAATTGATTATCTGTGCAGAGATGAGTCCTTGTATTGTTTGCGAATTTTTGCTCAAAGATATATTATTATTAGATATCAAATTCGCCTTTATGACAGATTAGTAATCAAAATTGAGGATTAAAATAGGAAATGGGGGTGGGGATAGAAGTACTTTTGAAGGCAAAGTTAATAGGAATGATTTATTTTGTAACTCATTAATCTGTTGATAGATTTTACCCTTTTATACGTAAACTAATGTTTCAGTAGTTTAGATGTCAGTCAGGGGCGGATCCAGCTGGGGGAAGTGGGAGAAGATGCTCTCTCCCTTCCCCACCTCGTCAGTCCCACACAAAAATGATTGAGAAAAAAATTGAAAAGAGCTAATAAAGGGAGGAAAGAGGGGAAAAGGCAGTGTACCCATGAGTTCAGTGGCTGGTCCAGCAATGGGTGAAAGGCTGAGACCCAAGACGAGTTTTTTTTTAGCCATTATTATGGAATGTAGTAGCTAGAAAAGCTATCCATGCTTACCCTACACATCGGGTCTTCGCTCTATAGCACCATGAGCCAAAAGGGCATTGCTGATACACAACGGCATGTGTCTCTGACATCGACTTTAGGACATGAGTCATATTTTTCCAGTTGGGGGGGGGGGGGGTGAAGTACCTAGCCGGTCAGCTCCCCCTACATTTGTCTTTTTTTTTATCAGATAAAATATTAAAATTTTAAGTCTGAATGAGTACCAATTCCGGGCATCTAGGGGTGTCATAATCATAATTTGTTTTGCTACTTCCAGCATAGAATCAGTATAATAAGTCTTTGATTATACCTTTGCGACGCCCGTGAGGGGATGCGTGCCAAGGGAGGGGTAGCATAGCTCCCTTCGGGAAGAAGTCAATAATTTTGTCAAGGAACACTGCTTTGAGAAAGCATTATTACCATCTCAGAGTGCCATTTTCGAGCGTCTAGAGTTACTAATTCGTAAAATTTGCTCACCTCAGCCCCAACCATGCTGGGACTGAGGTGTGGGTGGACTACAGTGATGGATTTAAGTGGAGCCAGCCGAGCCAGGTCGCCCTCCTCCCCTTAATTTTGTTCAAAATTTTAAAAAGAAATTTAGAAAAAAGGAAACTTTACAATCAAATTTAGGTACGAGATTGCCATTTCCGGTGTCATAATCATACATTTTTTTGCCTCAGTCCCTGTCTGTTAAAATTTATCCCTGCCCCCTCCTCTATTTTGAGATCCTGGATCCGCCACTAGACTACCTATTTCCCCCAGAAAAGTTTTGGATCCGCCTATGGTCAGATTGTATTAACCTTTATATGTGCTTCTTGTTTTTGTATACATAGATTTTGTTTTTTAATTGCTTTATATTTTCTGTTCCTTTGTGTGATGGATGCACTGTTCGCTTTAAACGTGTGCCACCGATCTGAAGGTGTAAATTCAAATAAATAAATAGACCTACGTTGTATGAGATCTGTTACTTGTCTAGGCCTAAGTTGGTATATTTTACTGTAGACAAAATGGCTTTATTTTTAAGATTTGTTTTTAGCAGGTAGCAAATTTAATAATCGTTAACTTAAATAGCATTGTAAGAAATATGCATTTTATTTTAGATTACTTAATATATATTTATATTTAGACCACTAAATTTACACTGACAACTTAAAGAATGGATTAAAATCTGAAATAGCAGCGGTTACTACACTAACATGTTAGGATGTTTAATTGAGCTGGTAATGGCCGCGCCATGGCCATAAATAAATAGCATACACGCCTGTCATGAGCATTATTTATATATAGTCGTGATTGTTTTCAAGTTTAATATCAACATAAGTTTGCAATAGAAACAATCGTATAAAGATGTTTGAAAATATTTATATTTAGACCACTAAATTTGCACTGACAACTTAAGGAATGGATTAAAATCTGAAATAGCAGCGGTTACTACACTAACATGTTAGGATGTTTAATTGAGCTGGTAATGGCCGCGCCATGGCCATAAATAAATAGCGTACACGCCTGTCATGTGCATTATTTATATATAGTCGTGATTGTTTTCAAGTTTAATATCAACATAAGTTTGCAATAGAAACAATCGTATAAAGATGTTTGAAAATAAGATCTGAAAAAAATATAGGCCTATAATTTTTAAATAAAGGTATACGAAAGTGCCTTTAAAAGTTACGTTCACTGACATACATGAAATTTAAAACGATCTATAAACAAAAACCAAAACTACTAGTGTTTTTCTTTTAAAAATGTATATTTGTTCTTTTTGAATTTGATTCAGTACTTGGTTTCAAAATGAGTTTTTTTGTTATTCTAACAGACAAGCAATTTAAATCCATAAACCTTCGTGGTGGAGGCAATAACAAGAACTGTTGAGAGGCATGTTAAAATATCTGCAGTTCTTTTATTATTGTTCCTCCGTTGTTGATATCTTTTTACTAGCCTAATAAAATGAATACTCTCATCTAATCAAATCAAATCAAATCAAGATTTATTTCTTTCACAATATAACGATAAAAAAAATATTATAATTATCAAAGAGAATTTGGCCTATATTATTTTTTCAGTGATTTTCTTAAAGCTGTGAGCCTATTCCTGGGTTGTGGCATGAAAATGGGTTGATATAACACTGGGAGCTGCACTTAACTTTGACATTTCCAAAGAAAAGCACCTCAATATCACTTTATGCCATACGGTACCTTTTTACAGATGATCGGTGTCGAGCCATAAAAGCAAAGATAGTAGGTGGGCCACAAACTGGGTTGTCTCAGGCTGTGAGGCCGCACTTCAATTTCAATTTATTCAACATTTATTCTACCATTTATAAACATGCCTGGAAATTAAACAAATCAAAGTTACAGGATACATAGAAAATGGAAGAGGGACGACATAGAAACTCTTACGAGTCCGTCACTGTTGCCCCTCTTCAGAGACTGCAAAAACAACATTAAACATGAAAATGAACAGAAAATAAACACCTCCGTATAAATAAGATAAACTGTTTTCTCTGATTATTTACCAATGTAATTCAATTCCCCAACTCTAATTATTTTTATTATTAAAATGACAGTTTATATATGAAGGTCAGTTTAAGTTTTGATTTGAATTGTTTTAATGTGTTTGCAGATGTTACACCTTGGAATTCAGAAATGAAATTCCATAACTTTGGACCATATGCTTTAATGAATTGTTGGCACCGGCCAGGTGATCCCTGGCCGGTGCCTGCAGGTGTGCGGTATAAACGAACAGATTAAAAGTTTAGGATAAACATAAACTAAAATAACGGAAAAGAAAATGTACTTTACTAGTAATTACGAATCATAATTGTTTGTTGCATACTATTAGTATTATTTTTTATCATGTAAAATGTAACGGGAAATACCAATAACATGGCGTGGCTCATATGTAAATAATGATAATAAAAGCCGAAATAATGACGTCACGGTACACTAGACTGCATCAAAGTTAACTACTTTCCACCTGTGTGAGATGCTTAAATTACGATGCCGATGGCATGCGATCACTTGAGTGCAACCTACAGGCTTTCCCTCCCTCGTTATTGATATTGATATTAAAAATAAGCAATTTTTAAAGAAATTCCAATTGTAAATAACATATGCCGAAGTAATGATGTACTCTCTTCCGTTACGAAGTTTGTTTATGTCGTGCACCTGGCTGTTGGCTTGTGACTGCCTTCCATACATCATGGTTGTATGGACGGGTGATTCCCCGGTATCTGCAGGTGTGCGA